CCTCGCGCCACGCGCATCCGCACGTACGCGCGGTGCGGCGCCGCGCCGCGCCGCGCCACACCGCGCCATACCGCGCCACACCGCGCCGCCTCACCCCGTTGTCGCGCTTGACTTCAAACTCGCGTTTGCCCGCGATTCTACCGCGGGGACGCATTCATTTCGCGCTCATTTTCCCCGAGAAACGGCGCTTATCCGCCTGAAAATCATTTGGAATTCTTCGAGCAATCTTCCGAGTCATCGGCAATAACAAAAAAAAAATACTGATAGAAACGACCGTGTCGCAAAATGTAAAAAAAATATGCTCTCTAATTGATTAATCAAGTTTGACACGCACGTAAATGTACTTGCTTTCGCGCTTTGAAAATCGATAATACGGAAGTCGGTAATTTTATTCCGATTGTTCGGTATATAAAGTGATGAATAAAAGTAAATAAGCAAAGAGCGAATAAAGGGATTATAAATATAAATTTGTTATTTTGTTACAAATAAAATAATACAATTACGAGTAAAATAATTAACATGGGGAAGAAACGAGAATCAGTTTTATCCTGCAAATCATGTAGACGTGTCACGGTTGACCGCGCAAACGTATTACGTATTCGATTCGTTTATTGCGCGTTGTTAATCTCGTTATTAAACGTTTGTTTCTTTAATATAAGTTTTTATTTTGTCTTGCGAGGGTGCGTTGCAATAACGAGAATACAATCAGACGTAACATTTGATATTTGCAATGCATTGTCATAGATGAATATGTACAATGTAGAATTCGGCTATATCGCGTGGTAGAGTGCTCATTTTTATTTTTTTTTCCTATTTATGTAAAAGCGAAGTCATAAAAAGGCACAAAATACTTTTCAGGAAATGCAATGCTATTTTCTGTACTTATTTTCGAGTTGGAGTTTTACACACAGATAACCATCCATATTGTCGGGCGAAATATCCACGAATAAAGTTCCAAGGATAGCAACGAAGGAAGTTTCAATTCTTTAGAAAAGAAGCGATTGATTTGCGAACTTGCGATGTAAATTCGGTTCTTTTTTTATTATCGACGGGATCGCGAAGTCATGAATTATTTAATCGTCAAGGAGCAAAATGTTTCGGAATGTAAACGTGCGTCTCAAGTGCCAAGTCTCGCGAGGGTATGTCGAGTTCAATTTCGCCAATTGTTACAAAACGTTCTTAATTTTTCTTCTAGTTAAGTGACATCATCTTTGCTCTCCGCATGCACCAGATCGTTAAAATTGTTTCGGTTTTTGTTCATTAGACAGCTGGCGACACGTTAATGCGCTTATTGGCACAGTGAAGAAAAAGCAAGTATCGTTTGTGATGATGAAAGCGTTTGAAATCGCTTTCTCGATGTAGAGTGAATATAACGTGAGCAGCTTTGAAAATAATATTTTTACTTACAGTCCACTTATTATAAATAGTATAGGAAGTGCAGGTTCCTCCAATGCCACGTTTATCTCGTTCGTAATTAATAAAGTGCCTTTGAACTGAAATGCATTTTCCTAATACCGAAATATTTATGCCGGCGGTATCTTGTGACAGTCAGCGATGCCCATTGAAAGGGAAATACATTTCCTCAAATCGCAAACAACCGATTTTCATTCTGAAACTATTTTCTCCACGCGTCGCGACTTGTGCCTCGTTTTTCCACGGAGATTCGCTGAGGTTGGCGTTGCCGAACAAATGAATTCCGCTGCAAGCATTTACCTTAAACATGCACACAAGTTTGCAGTTTCTCTATTTGCATTTACAAACAAAATCCTTCCCGTCACACAAATTCATCTAGCCTAAAGTAACAAGAGTGAATTAAAGTGCACAGCTATGCGATTAATTACGGATATAGAGAATGCTTCATTATGTTGGAGAACCGTATTGAAAAATTCACAATTGACCACCGCATTTCACGATTATATTTAAAAGCATCCAGTAAATTTAAATCCAATCATTTTAAAACTGTAGTTTTCTTCTTTAAGATAAAATTTTTTATCAATGTTTTTTTATCAACCTTCTTTTTTATCAACCTTTATAAACCGTAGAATCCAGCAAGTTTTCTTATCGCACTGGAGAGTACCCCTCTCCCCCCTCCTCCTTCCGTGTATTACTTTTAACTCACAAACTTCAACTTTCCACGATCGCTCAATCGATCGAAGCTCTTCGATATTTCTCATTATAATAACAATAATGTTCGCCACGAGCGCGCACGTATATGCGTGGAGGAAGGGAACGCAATTTACGGGGCAATAGACGTACCGCATGCCAAGGGAACGCCCGACTTATGAGAGGGGAACTAATTGTTAATTATGTTGCTGGTAGATACACACACAGCTGGCGGGAAGGGACGTGGTGGAAAAGGAACCCCGACACACCGAGATCCACGCGTCCGGAATAGGCACGCACGACCGACGCACGCGCGCGCGCGCGCGCGCGTGCGTCGCTGCTGTAAGCAA